AATAAGTTTGGTATCAAACATTTTAGAACTATACATTACTCAATTTCTTAATTTAAAAGTAAATATTAGAAAAACACAGATAAACATAGATTTTTGTGTGTCACGTGGTATGTTGAATGTAGCACTGGTTTAAATTAGATGTTTGTGAAGTCAAAATACTAAGTCTGTAGTGTCATATGAATTAGGAACTCAAATTACCACTATTGACAAGCTATAATATAAAATAAGAACCTCATATCTTTTCTATTTGCTAAGATATTGCTCATATAATAAATCATACACAGTGGCACCCCACCACCTCTTTCCATTTTTGGAGATGTTTTCTTATATAAACTTACTTCTATATATGACATGAATATCCAATCGAAAGCTCAGAATGTCCACCTAGTGGCTTTCTCAGCCATTTTAATGTATTTGGATGACATCTCTTTTTTTTCAAACCAATATTTCAACAAGGTAGGTTGTGTCTTTAGTTTGATCAAAAAATTTTTTTTTAGACTGCAATACAGCTTAGTTATTAAGCTTGATAAATTATAGTGGAATTCTATGGTACTGATATAGTATTTTATTATTTTTTGATTTTTCAACTATATATACATACAACCTAAAAAAATTATTTCATTTCATATCCTCCACATGCAAAATTTTAAAAGGCTTAGCAACCTACATCAAGAAGCAACTGAGTACAAAGGTCATAATTAGAAGAGATAACTGTTTGCTTCTCTTCTTTATTTAACTATTCTATGTTTCAAGAAAAATATGTTTAAGAACATATTTCTAAATAGCAATAATCTATATACACATATAATTATAATAATTGAAATGTGACTGTATTTTACAAAAAAATAATCCATGTAAGTTCTGCTGAAGGGTCAATATAATAAAAATAATAGATATATATAATGGAATGTTATGAGATTTAAGCTATTTTTTATGGTGGTTACGAGATCGGTCAAATCTACCAAATACGTACAGAGAGTCTTTACTGAAAATAACAGATAAAATATAAAGTTTTTTCCTAAGAAATGTTTGATAACTATCTGGATATTATAAAGATTTCCCATGTGAAATTCGAAAATTTTCTGATGCATAAAAGTATCTTTAATCTTAAAATGAAAATTACTTTGAATGTTGGATAGGCATATACATTATACAATTAAATAGGTCTTTTAAAACTCCCACCTATTCCCTAAAGTTTTAGAAGATTCTCGAGTGTAAGAATCAACAATATATGTATGTATGTAAATGCTTAATCTAGTTTTTTATTGTTACATAATCTGAATTTTCTAAAAACTCTCCACATGCCTATAAATATAACCAACATGACGCACCAAAAAAAGTAGTATCTCTTAATAGTTTGCTATAAACTTTGGAAGCTATAACTGTGATTGTTAAAATGCTTATCAATTGGAAAACTTCAGATATTTGACCAGCAGCATTTACAAAGTTCGAACATTACAAATCATTTAACTTCAGTGGATTCTCATCGGACATTAGTATTTTTACGAAAACATTATATAAATTCATCGTGGAAAACTCAGCATGTGTGGCTGGTGAATAAAGAAGAACAAAGCTAGCTAGATCCCTGTTAAGTGAATTCTACCTACATCAACTCGTAATTAACTTGCTCATTGTGAACCCTCGATAAGATATCAAGGAAGTTCCAGACTATAAAGAAGACTTTATATTGCTTGTATGTTTGTAAAATTTTTGTATACAAGTCATTGTGTTTAATAACTCTTTGTAATAACTATTATTGTAAATTGTATTATTGTTTGTATATTAAAATGTATTTGTGTTAAAAACGAAGATGGTGTGTATCAATCTTGGTGGCAAATATAATAAACTGACTATATATCAGCTTTTATTTAAATACTAAATCCAAGTACAATTTAACGACTAAATTTAAATTATCAGTTAACTCAATTTCAGGCTATTTGAATTGTAATACATAACACAGGGAATCAGGAAAGAGAAAGAAAACAAGCCAACAGGTCAGGACAAAAGGAGTAACAAATCTGAGGGTGATGAGGCATTTGGGAGTGGGAGAGGAGCTATTAGAGAAATAAAACACTAGAAATCCTAATAACAACCAAGGAAAAAAGACAAAGTAAACCCCAACTCCTGTTGGCAGAGGGCTTTTGTCAACTGATGAGATCAACATGCACCAGAGTAGTTAACATTAAAACACGTGAAATTAGGTGGGAATTGCCTCAAGGCTAGTAGCATGCAAATCTCTTAGGTAGACACACGAGGAAGACAGCTAAACTGTAAGAAGAGGTGAGTTATCATCTTAGAACATAAAATTTCTAAAATATCAACACTACAGGTATATAACAGGTAAAGTCTACTTTGCACTTGTTCATGTGGTGTTATGGTACATCCATGTAAAATTCCTTCTTACTTGAATAAATCAAAATTTATTTGAAGCCACAACTGTGATATAAATTGATTCCTTCCATTGTTAAATGCTGAAATAAAGTGTAGCACTTCTCAAATGTGATATAACAAATTCAAAATGTGCAATTATCTATTCTGAATTCTAGCAACCACCTTCTTACCTTCTAATAGAAAATTGTGACAAGCAGTTCTGATGGTCAAGAATCTGTTGCAAACTTAATCTTCTGCTTTTCTTCCACCTATGCAATCATATGTTTATATTATTAATCTCTCACTTGTTAACAAAAACATCTCTTATTAATCAATTATGATTTAAAATAACTTTAACAACTGACATAAAGGAACTTACTAAATATTAAATTTATTTGTTACTACAATTTAAATATAATGCTGCAGATAATAAGCACACTAAAAATTATGTATACAATTTCATTGAAGCTCTTGACCAAATAATTCTGTATAACTTGTATTTTGTGATTTCAGATTGTAACAAAAAACCTATGGTTGGTATGGCTATACTATATTCCTATATTTCTGCATCTCATCTTTCTTCAGGAATATTTAGTAAGCATGTGCAGTGCTCACAGTATGCTTAAGTCTAGTAGCAAGAGTTAGAACCATGATAAAACTGAAATAATGTAAATATTTTAATTTATCTAACCATCCAATCAGTAAATATAACATATTTTTATTAAAACCTAAAACTCACAGGATAAACTGGGTTAATACATATTCCATACATTAATTAACCAAAATATATCTCCTACAAATTTAAACCACATATATATATTTAAACCATATATATATATATATATATAGCAAATTAATACTTAAACAGTCAAGCAGAAGAAAATGAAAAGGAAGGACTGCATTAAAAACAGCAAATCCAAACCTGTGATAAATGACATTTTAATGAATAAAACAAGACCAAACAATACAATTAGAAATTGAAAATACTTCAATTTTGGATGTAAAGGCACATTATTTAGGTGTATAAATTAAAATAATTGATAATGATATACTGTTAGCCAAGCATGGGTGAAAGGTCAATATAATAAAAATAATAAATATTGTTGCGTCATCAAGATCACGTGACTATTCTCACGCCCTCTACTTTCCAGTACGGAAGAAGATACGTCCCGTAAAATTAAGAGACTTTGTTGAATTGTAATTTTGTGTTTGTAATTCTGTACAGTTAATTAAGTTATTGTTAATTGTTATTGGTTTATTGTAAGTGGCAATTGTTCGGGATGAACAATACTAAGGAGGGGCAGTGTTGTGTCATCGAGGTCACGTGACTGGTGTGGCGCCGCCTATTTTCTAGAACTATCCTGTACCTTGGCGAATGCTCTAGCATTTACTAGATTGGGGTAGACTGGTATATATAAGATGATCACA